GTATGCTGTGACGCGGATTGCGTAATGGCCTCGAGAAAATCTAAGCTTACAGAGTTCGACTTGAAATTATATGTTGAATGTTTCAACTTATTAAGTTATTGGAGTATACAGGGTGTCCCGAAATTAGACGGTCATATTTTAACAGCGTAATCTACATCCTAAAATAGGAATAAAAGTTCATATAAACATAGGTCCGAATACGTTTCGTTTTCGAGATACAGGGTGTTACAAGTGAAGTCCTGATGGCACATTTTTGTAAATATTTTCTAAAATTTCTTTAGTCACCGGTTTTCCAAAGTAAAAAAAAATTAAATTTCTGATTTCACAGGCCTACTAATTATTGTTTACACTTTCGAATAACTTATCATGAAATTTTAAAATTCTTTTTTCTTGAAAATGGTGCGTCCTAGCGAGATGCAATAACAGTAGCTTTATTATAAAGAAAGCATTGGTTTTCCAAATTTTATAGTCAAAAATGTTAAAAACTTTAAACAAAAAAAATTTAGGGCAATTTTACCCTAAGCCCCCCCTAATTTACCCACCTATGAAGATGATCAAAAACTGTAGTTTAGTCCATTAAATATAGCGTAAAAATGTTAGCATTTGAACCAAATTTCACTTAGTTATCTTTAAACGTTTAGAAAATATTTACAAAAGAGTGTCATCACGACTTCACTTTTAACACCCTGTATCTCGGAAAAGAAAGGTTTTCGGACCTATGTTTATATGAACTTTTACTCCTATTTTAGGATGAAGATTATGCTGTTAAAATATGACCCTCTAATTTCGGGACACCCTGTATAATAATTTTTTCAAGGCATTTGACAGTGTCAATCATGTAATTTTATGTAATATATTAAGGCGATTTTAAATCAGATACTATGTCTTGAATATGATTGACTACACTGATATAAATCAAAAACAATGACGTCATATTGTCTTGAAATAGTCAAGTTTAACATGACTACAGTAAAAACGTGGTCATCACAGGTATGAAATGTCAAATGAAATGACAAATGTAAAACTTTTACTTTTTAATTATTAAATCATTGTTTGGTTGTGTTATTTGTAAAATAGAAAGAAAGATTTACGAAAGGGAAAAGTGGGACAATGGTGACGATAGGGTATCAGGTTTAAAAAACAGGTATTTTTTTAAAATAAGCTCCTTTTTTGTAGAGATCTAAAAAAAGTCCTCCGCTTATATTTATTTAAACCATTAGATTCCTTTTTCTGAGCTTCTCAAAAACAGGTCAAACATTGTCAAAAATATCATTATATATAACTTTGAATTTAAAAAACGTAGCAATAAGATAAAATGCGGAGCATTTTTGTACTTTGGCGTAACGCGTGCCAGCAAGTTAAAAAGCAGGACAATTACGCCTAAAGCGCGACGTCTGGCAACCCTGGCTGAGTACCTAGATATGGACGCATTTAAGGTTTCTGCAAATGAAAAGCCAATTTATTTTCAAGGTAGGATTTATAATGAACATGGCTAAAGTTTTGATAAAAAATCAGAGGCCAAAGTAACTATAATACCAATTTTCTCTTCATCCATGATCAGTAAACAAAACAAATACTTATTTTTTATCCCTACAAATTCAAAAACAAATCCTACTACTATTACATAACACACAAACAAAAATTCATGATATCTGTCAATGTTATACCCATTGTGAAGTTAGTGTCAATATAAACCAAACATTTTTAAATCAGATTATTAGAACGTCATTATAATGACGTAAGAACCTTGAACACACTTGACTTGGTCACATTTCTAGTAACTGATTTAAAATCGCCTTTACAGAGATAAGGGAGATAAAGATAGGAAACGCCCATAAGAAGCCAATGCTAAACAACGACCAGCTTTATAGCAGTTAACATCTGACCCACTATGTGGCGCTTTCATCGATATCAAACAACGCAGCGGGAAATGTAAAAACCTGATAATGAAGGTTGTATAAATATCAACTGCACTCTCATGTTCTTGTAAATAAACTTAAATTATTTATTAAAAAGAATACTACACTTACAGTCTATTATCGATTAATTATAGTAAATCTATATTCATGACAAATATTTTTTAATTTTTGATTTTATTTTCCAAACGAATGGCCTTATTTAAAAATGTTGAGTGCAAATTCAATAATGGGAATTCAGATATTTTTCTTCTTATATCAAATCTTCTTTCTAACGTTTTGAAGCCATTTTCTTGTTCTAAAATAATAAATAATAAATAATACATATAAATACCTACTTTGTGATAAAAGTTGATTACTATTTGTGTTATTTACATGAATAGATCTTACCTACTTTGGTTAATTAAAGAACGCCACATTGGGGTTGTTAAATTTGTTCATGTGGCATGTGTTACTAATGCAATACATTCTCCGACTTATTATAATGTTACAAAATATAATTATTGTCCTCAAATTTCACACAAAAACAGCCACAACTATTTCGCTTAGTTCATCTAGAGGATAACACAATCATGAACTCAAAATTTAAATTCAGGATTCTTCGATATACATAACACTAACTGACATTTATATTTACAAACTGTCAATTGCTGTCCACGTCAACTGCCTGTCTCAGTGTTGCCAACTGTACGATTTAAATCTTATTTATACGATTTTTTAACTCTGTACGATGTACGATTGCATTAGTGAGATCGTACGTAAAAATACGATCTTCACTTTTTTAGTAGGTTTATTTAAATATCTGCAACAACTTCAGAACATAAAAATCAAAAACTACTTGCAAAGATTCATAGGCCATTTGTAATTTCTGAAGGCGGTCATTTTCGTTCTGACTTATCGTGATTTTGACCATGTTGATTTTGTACACCGACTATCACGGCATAAGAAAAGCTTGCATGCAAAATTTCAATCACATTCAAGTGACAATCATTGATTACTTTAAATGTGTTAATTTGAAGTTTCATGTATTTCCATTTTTTTTTTTTTTTTTCGTTATATACATTTTTATAAATAGATACATAAATTATCGTGCCAAAGTTTTTTTTTATTTTTTCATTTCATTTAAGTTATATTATGCTATGCATGTATCTATTGTACAATTTTTTGTCGAAATATCATTTTTCTACTCTACTTGTACGATCTCTCAAAAAAAGTATTTGGCAACACTGGTCTCTCTACAAACGACGTAGACCTGTAGTTAACATCTGAGATGCTAGATGACGCCATTGTTGCTACGGTCGTTGCGTTTCCAATCTTTATCTCCCTTATCTCTGATATATTACGGACGGTTGGAACTATTATTTAATATATTTTTCCTACGACCACTTAGGAAAGTGACACAAATCACACTATATAGACCTATGGAAAGTGCCCTATATCACACGCGTATGAATAAGAATTTACTTTCCACCCAAGTGAGAATATGCTACTTTCCGCAGTAGCTGTCAGAAAATGTCAAACACATAATTTCTATTTTGATCTATGTAATGTCCATATTAATGCTAAAATCGATATGATTGTTAAATTATTGTAAATTAGATCCTAGATATTTATCTTTAACAATTATTTTTAAAATAATTTTAAAATAACTAAGATATATTTGCTTTTTATTCTGGTTAAACACATAAGCGATTAGATCAATCAATTACCGTAAGGCCTGTTAGCTCAGTTGGTTAGAGCATCAACTTTGCAATTTGAGACCGTCCAACGACCGCGATCGAATCCTGGCTGTGCCAGAATTTTTTTTTTTATTTTTTTTTATTTTTTTATTTGTTTAGAAATTATGAAAATTTAATAAATACGATTATTGTTGATTATTTTTTTAAATACATTTTAATTATTATAATAATCTGGTTTTACATTTTTTGATGAAATTATTTTGTGGTCGTAGGAAAAATATTGTACATCACTTGTGTGAAAAGTGATTTTCCACACTCGTAATGTATTATACTATATCAATGATATTGCCAAAGTATTTCTTGATTTTTTTTACTATTTGCAGATTATCTTAGACTCTATTCTGCTGTTAATGATCTCCTAGATTTTATTAAAGTTCAAAATGATCTTGATAAATAACATTATTGGTTCCGGTCAATCATTTAGCTCTTAATATCAACAAGTGTAAATACCTGGTGTTTTTTAGACTTGAAACAACTCAAGCTCTTATATCCACATTTACATATTGCAGGATAACTTTAGAAAAATAAGATAGTATACGGGCTCTTGGGATGACTGTTTACTGTAGAATAGAGTTTGGGAAGCATTATAAATATATTCAAAATAGAGGATTCAAGATGACAGAATGTATTCGCAGGCATACAAATTAATTCGCCAACTTGAATATCTTAAAATATTTGTATCTCACCCTAGTACGACCAATTCTTGATCACGTGGCAGTTGTTTGGTGTCCAATGTATTAAAACCATATTACAGAATTGAACACAGCAAAAATCGATTTTGGATATATTTTTCTTCTAAATCACATATTCCATCAGAAAATTTATCACCTACACATATTGGGTAAACCAAGAAAAGCAAATGATTGTACTGTTCTTATATAAGACCTTTAATAATTTCATCAAATGCCCTAGGATTTCTCATTTTTTCCAAGTACTACCACGTAATTTCAGAAACAGAATTATTTGCAATTTCTTTTCATAGAAATAATTATGTAAGATTTTTCGCCAATTTGCCGTTAATGGACAATGGAAACAAAAATTCTGCTCATTTTTTTAATACATCCCTATATTCTTTTAAATACCATATTTTTGTAATTTAATTTTTATCTATTGTAAAAACTTCAAGTGGGTTTTACCCGTATGTAATTATAAATAATTAAAAAATTATTCTAAAGAAATGTCTTTTCTGTTGACATGGGCATAGCATTCTTCGAGCATTATCCAAAGGGAAACGATTACTCGTATTATTTTTTGACACATATGACTTTGATATGTTCTTGTTTTTCTTTAAACAAATATTTATTACGTTTTAATTAATATTATAATATATTTTTCCATTTTGCAGATGGAGTGAGTTTCCCAAAACAGGTTGCGTTCTAGTGCCGGAACACGTCGAAACGCGACCATTATACAATCCCGACAAGCCCGGAATTGAACAGGGAAAGCTCGAAATGTGGGTTGATATGTTTCCGATGGATATGCCGCTACCGGGACCCCCTTTGGACATTTCTCCACGGAAACCCAAAAGCTACGAATTGCGAGTAATAATTTGGAATACAGATGATGTGGTATTAGAAGACGATGCCTTTTTTACCGGCGAGAAAATGTCGGATATTTACGTTAAAGGGTAAATCTTAATTTTTTCTACATCTTTAAACTGCCAAACTGGTTTTTCTATTTTGGTGTATTAACTAGCACCCTCGATACTATTTTTTGCTGATTTTTGTATTCTTTACATGGAATTATCCTATTTTAAAAACGTTTATAAAGTAGGCATTGAAAAATTTACAAATCGTACAATTCTTATGTGTCAGTTTGGATTTAATTCAAAGACGTACGTAGTTATTATGGTCTACTTTAGAAACATTTTTAGTGAATATCTCTTTATTGTCATGAACAGCTGAATGATGATGATATTACAATTAGTATTTGTCACATGGCTAAGGCGTAAAGCGTTTATTTGTTGAGGTAGGTTAATCCTATTTTTCATGAGTAATTTTTCGCAACTCCTCCTTATTTTTGTATTTCGATTTCCAGTCTGTTATTCCTAGTATTGTTGTGATATCTTCTATATCCTCTCGCTATCATTTCCTCGGTCTTCCACTGCTCCTTAGTCACAGTGTGATCCATTGTATTATCATTTTTAATTAAACCTTTCCCGTTATTGACGATCTCTATTACTTATGCGCAAATTCTACTTCTGCTTAAAATCATCCAAATGTATTGTCGTTGTTTCCTACCCTGATTTCCTCATCCGCAAATGTCATTAGTATTGGTAGGGGAGCCAGTGGAACTTTTAGGTGTGTTATTTGCTAAAGGTAAAATTACAAATATTTAGTTCATTCTCACCTTGTAGTTTGCTGCGCAGCAAGATGAGGTTTTAAGAAAGCCAGTGTAGAAAATTCTGTTATAGAAGTGCAAACTTGAAACTTTCAGATATTATTTACATCAAAAGTTAATAGAAAAAAAATTGCAGCCACCTTCCTGAAATTCAGCTCACAATGCGCTAGTTCAGTGATGATGTAATTATGGTTCCACTGACAATTAAAGTGACAGTAGATTTTTTGAGTGCGTTTTGTCCGTTTTGTTTACTTAAATTATATCGTTTTTTTTTTCACTTTTATAAATATATTCCTAAAGTAAGTAGATAGCATGTATCAAATATACAATCGTTTAGTTACCAATTACATACCTTAAAACTATTTTTTTATGACCTGTAAACAATATTTTGAAATAAAATAAAAACAGTAAAAACGTATATGTCAAATTTATTGATGTTTTTGTTAAAAGTTTGGTTAGAATTAAATGTCAGTGGAACCAAAATGACATCACACTGAACTAGCGCATACCTTCTTGCTTGCTGACAGAGCATTTCACCGCTAGATCAATGCGCTAGTTCAGTGATAATGTAATTATGGTTCCACTGACAATTAAAGTGACAGTAGATTTTTTGAGTGCGTTTTGTTCGTTTTGTTTACCTAAATTATATCGTTTTTTCACTTTTATAAATATATTCTTAAAGTAAGTAGATAACATGCATCAAATATACAATCGTTTAGTTACCAATTACATACCTTTAAACTATTTTTTATGACCTGTAAACAATATTTAGAAATAAACTAATAAACTAAAAACAGTAAAAACGTATATGTCAAATTGATTGATGTTTTTGGGTAGATTAAATGTCAGTGGAACCAGAATGACATCACACTGAACTAGCGCATTGCAACAAAGTATTTCCATCTTCTACAGGGTAGGAATTAGCGATACATTTATAATTTAGCCTTGTGAAAATGTGTACCAAAAAATTTTCACTGGCTGCCTACTATATACAATCGATGACAGTTATTTAAATTAACGATGACATGGGATAATCGTCGTAGCCATTGAGATAGAATAAAGAGAAGATGCTAAAGTGTCCGCACCTTTGCATTACACTTTTACACCATATATGTCAAACTCGAGATAATGGACCTAGTCAGTTTTTAGTAAAAATAAATGCCATTTTTGTTAAATAGCTTCATTTAAATAATATAAAATCATTTTCATTCCGTCAATCTTCAAATATAAAATTATTGACTTCATAGAAATCAAAGTACCACTCAAGTCGCCATTTTCATTATACTTTTCCGTCACTCGAAGTGCGTCCTATGAAGACTAGAGATAAGGAGACGAATCGGCATACTCAAAATACGGTCCCAAAAAAGGCATGCTAATTGAGCTTCTATAATTAACCGCATGGGCGCTGGTACTGCATACGTTGTTCAAAATACATGGCTTCTTATGGGAATTATACATAATTTTGTCAAAATAATAAAAATAAACTTGTTTACAGCTAAATAAAGCACAGAACATACTGTTGTATTTATTTCTAAATAAGTCTTGCATGTTTTAATTGATAAATTATTTAATTTTATCTATATAAAATGCAAATTAGGTATGTATGACCAAATTCGAAAACGTTTCTTAATTGCTGAAATTTTGTGGCAATTTTTTTTTTTTTAATTGAACCAATATATAGTTTTAAGAGTAAAATAAAACACAGTTAACAGATTTTTTATTGTTGTAATACAAGTATAAAGGGAGATTTGGGAATATACATGGTATTACCTCATCCTTTAATTTCAGCTTTCCCCTTTTTATTTTGCTAACAGTACCATCAGTAAAAATAGACTCATAATATTTGATATCTTCTAAAAAGTATAGAACAGAATCATCTCTAGAAAGTGCTTTAGCGGCACTAGGAACGATATATATGCTGCCACTGTTCTAAACGTTTAGTATCCTATAAAAAACATTTACAATGACACAATTGGGGTCCAAAAAAAAATAACAGTTACAACTCTTTATCTAACATTAAAACTCTATAAAAAATTAATTTTCTTTTCTAGTAAGTTAAATTTAATGCATAATTATTGTTGTTTGTAAGTCAGCATCTATAACTGTAAAATTTTATATTATAGAAACTTATAATAAAATAAACTACACTTCGTAAGATACATATTGTGACTAGTTTAGAATAAATATTATATTTAGACATGAATACATTATTGTACTTACATTAAAAGCTTTAAAAAGACATTGAATTGATTTCTTCTTGTGTTTTCTTTAGTTGTACATTTGCTTTTTATCCTGTTTTACAATCTGAAACGACGTAAATCTTGCTTTGATGTTTTTTGTCACTCATGTTACTTGTACTCAGGTACTTTTTTCAAATTATTTTGATTCTTTTCATAATTTTTTTAAAAAATCACTTTATTTTACATTGACTTACATAGAAAATTGACTGCGCTGTCATTAGACATGCCAACTACAGTCAATTTCATGAACTTTATAAAAAGAAGGACGGAAATTTGAAATTTGACCATTGCCGATTCGCCTCCTTTTCTCTAGTCTTCATAGTGGGTCCATCTGTCATATCGCAAAATAGTGTTTATGTCGTCTCTATTTTATTCTATATCACATGATCGTAGTCAACCCAACAGAGTTGTAAGGAGGATAAGAAAGGGAACAATTATGTTGTTTGAAAAATTACATGATGGTTTCACCTCCGAATTCTTCAATTTCCTTATTGGTTTTTAGTCTTGCTCCATTTTCTATTAAATTTGGGCCGAGTATATTATAGTGACCACTGATCTGTATTATTTTACTGGATAGGATATAGGCTATATTTAACATACTAAAAAATCGTTCCACCAAGGAGACCGGAAGTGCAAAAATTCTGGCCGATTTGGGCAAATTATGGTGGGTTCACAGAACTGAAATTTGGGATAATTTGACATACCTAACCTATAATTTGATTAGTTTTTCTTCTTATTCTTCTTCTATTCCTTTTGCGGGCGATGTCCTTCGGGAAATTTCACCCATGATTTGATTTTTTATGAAAGAAAATATAAAAATGGAAACGTGAATTATATTGTGTCTTCAGGAATGAACGTTTATTGTTTATTTCATACTCTTTTTACTTTGTTTTCCACAATAAAAACATCTCATCGTAGCTTGTTGACACAATTAAATGACAAATGTAATGACAAATGGAAATAGAGGTTACGTTAAATAACATCCGGTCCGCCATATTATTTGCCCAAATCGGCCAATTTTTCGGAACGTTTTTTAGGGGGCTATATCCTATCCAGTAAAATAATACAGATCAGTGATAGTGACTGCACACACTATATTCTTTATGTTTACATTTTGTTAACTTTATTACGTGGCAGTCCTAAATACAAGATTAAACTCATCTCATTGGCAACTTCGGTTGCCAAGTATGACTTTCATTAGTTTCCTCTCTGTTATCTGGGTCTTCTTCTTCTTCTTTTATTTATTATTGCTGTTTAGATGGCGTAAGTAATGTTGTAGTGTCTTGTATATTTTTTTCTAAATTTTTTTGGTGATGACTTTACTTTTCAGAAGATTCCTGATTCTAAAATAGGCTTGGTTTCATCTAAGAATTCTAATATACAATCTTTATAACAATAACTTCAATATTTTATTACTCAGAATAAACTGAAATCATTAATAATTTAAAAAATAATGCATATTTTTGATTTAGGTGGTTAAAAGGTCCCGAAGACTGCCAATGTACCGATATACATTACCGATCTCTAACGGGAGAAGGAAACTTCCATTGGCGATTTATTTACCCTTTCGACTATTTAGTAGCCGAACAAAAAATTGTGATATCAAGAAAGGAATCGTTATTTTCGTGGGATGAAAGTGAATGCAAGATTCCAGCAAGGTTGGAATTACAAGTATGGGACGCTGATCATTTCTCTGCTGACGATTTTCTAGGTAAATCATTATTATACACTAATCAAAACGAAAAAGAAGCCACTAAATTAATTTAGCATAATTTATTTACTGAAAGTATCTCCACCCAGTAAACTCATTATCTTATATTCGATGAAAAATCAAAACATTATACATTTAGAATCACATTTATTCGCCTTTTGAATTTATGTCGATATTCTTGTAAAAGTTTTTTAAACATTAACGCTGCCCAGACAGCACACCAAATCCTTTGGATATCTACTGGACATCCCAATATCCACTGAATATCCAGTCCATGGTGGATATCTGTTTTATATCCATGAGATGTAATTTATAGACATGCAAATGTCCATAAATAATAGTAAATATATAGCAAATTATTAAAAAATTACACCATTGCGGCTAATAGTACCATTCAGATATTTAAAATTAATTTTTTTAAGGTGTATTCAATATCCCATGGACATCCACTAAATATATCAAAGTCTAGGCGCGATCGCAAACCATGGTGGATATCCACTAGATGTAATTTTTAATTTGCTCACTAAGAAGAAAGTCATTCTTGGACCGGTTTCGTCCTTATTAGGACTAGAATTATATCCTTTTTTAAGAATGGCCCGACTGGCTTTTATTCCACCTAGTCTCTGAACTAGGTACTTACGCGACCTTTGATTTTGCTTACTAAATATACATGGCGTTACCACTTTCGCTCGTTGAATATCTACTCATGCTCAACCCGCCGTAATTGAATTCGATCGAAATTGGTATTGCAATCAGACTCCATTAGAGACTGAAGTCTAGATTTTCTATTTATTGCTGAAGAGTCCTAATAAGGATGACAAAAAGTGGGCAAAATCAAAGGCAGAGTGTTGAAAATATTTTCTATCTCTGCTATTTTCTTTCGACGTTATTCAATAATCATTGGTTACTTATGAACCTCTACTAAAGATACCCATAAATATTTTGCTGAATATCCATAGAATATCTTCTATATCTTGGGACATAGACGGACATTTGGATGTCCATATTAGATCCACTGGATATATTGGATATCCACAAAATATATTCTGTGGATATCTCTGGAATTTCTTGTATTGTCTGGGAGATATTCATTAGATATTTTGCTGGATATCCATAGGATATCTTCTATATCCTGGATATAGACATACATTTGGATATCCATATTAATTTCACGGGATATTTCTGATATCCTGTGGATATATTGGATATCCACAAAAGATATTCTGTGGTTATCTCTGAGATTTGGTGTGTTATCTGGGTGGATGTTGAAGTGCTTGGAAGGCCCTTCGTGGCCTTCCAAGCACGTAGGGTTTATATCACAGAGATTCAAATTGTTAGGGCAGTTGCCTTCATTTGAGGGGGCTACTTAAGAAACCTTAAATGTTAGTCGTGCTGCAAGAGAGCCTGGATAAGACAAGAAACTTGTAGAATTGTCAGAAGACAACCTTATCCGCTTTGTCGAAGGTAACTACATCTAGAGCAAATCGATTTCTACAACTTTTCATCGGCAGGGAACGTCGAAGTACTACTTTAACACTACAAAATGAGTTGATAGAAGCGACGAGTATAAGAGTAAATACTCAAACTGAATCATGAATTGTTAATTCATGAACTATGTAAATTAGGTGGCATATTGTTGTAGTGGATTAAAAGCTATCTTCTTAATAGAACTCAAATAGTCAAAGTAAAATATCACTATTCTCATCATTACTCTGTTACTTTTGGAGTCCCCCAAAGTTCCCATCTGGGACCTTCTTTTTAATTTGTTTGTCAACGATGTAACTTCCTGTTTTCGGCACAGTAATTTCTTATTTTTTGCATATGACCTATAATTTTTCCAAATCAACAACAACAATGATCGATTTAATCATTTATCCGATTGGTGAAAATACAACGGCATGGATTTAAATGTGGAAAAATGTCACATTATTCGGTCCCATCGTTCTCAGCAGCCCACTGTATTTGACTATATAATCAATGGTCAACTTTTAGATAGTGTTAAACAAATTAGAGATCTTAGAGTTATTTTCGACAGAACCCTTTAGGTTTAACCACTACATCTCTTCAGTTATAAGTAAATCTATGAAAATGTTAGAAAAGAACGACCCGCGACTTCACCGATATAACTGCTATTAAAACTCTTTATTGTACTTTAATTAGGAGTCGCCTCGATTATTGCTCTTCTATATGGTCGCTACATGATGTAACGTATAAATTAAAAATCGATCCTGTTCAGAACAATTTCCTTAGGTACATAGCCTTTAAATTACAAACATTTTATGTTTGTTCTACAATGGAGCAGTTTTTAAAAATACCCTCTCTGTAAACTAGTAGAAAACATAGATACCTGATTTTACTTTTTAATATTGTTAATGGAAGATATTCTATCGAAAATTAATCTTTTTGTCCCTAATCGTAATACCAGGCAATCACAATTATGTTAATTCTTAATTATTTTATATTCCTTTTTATATACTTGAAAATACTTTTAACAGTTGTATTTCTCTGGATAATATTATATTTGATTCTTCTGTAAATAGATTTAAGCACAACATTCAAAATACACCAAAGTAATTTTTAACAATTTATTGTAACTTAAATGAGCTTGCCCATAAATAAATAAATATTCACATTATGGATTGGCCAGCTAGGAGTCCCGATTTAAATCCCATCGAACACATTTGGGATACACTTTGAAAGCGCATAAGAAACCTACATGTCAAGGACGTTCTCGTGGATGAATGGTGTAATGAAGTCAATTTTTCCTCGATCAGTTTATTTTCATTTTTAATAAATATTAAACGCGATTGAACTGTTGGTCCTGAGTTAATTTACAGATGCGCGAACGCCGATCGAGTATGGATGCGTGGTGGGACTGGCATTGGTGGGGTCTCTGATAGGGAAAGGGAATCATCAGTTGAACCAGGTCCGAGATGCAATTAAAATTCTTAGTTCGATATAATACTTGATTTCCAGTAGTTTAGAATATTAGCCGCCTTCTCAAATCAATTCACCACCGATAATTTCTTTTCTTTCTCGGGTTTATAAATCCGTTAGGTAAAAAACCTTGTTTCGCTTTTTACGTTTTATATTGAGACCGTATTTCATTTTGAAAACCGAATTAGCTTGTAGAAATAGGAACATTTTAAGATAATGTTGAGTTAAACGATTTAATTTGATTCCATTAATAAACATTAGAATTTATTTCTTGGCAAATATAATACCGTTTTTTATGGTGTTGAGTTTAAAGATTTAATTTGATTTCATTAATAAATATTAGAATTTATTTCTTGGCAAAAATAATACCGATTTAAATAATAAATGAGAGGATTTAGTTCTTTAATATTGTAATACCGGGGATTTAGACTTTTGATCGTTATTCTGTATTAAAAAATTATTTTTTTTCTTTTGGTAGGTTAAATCGGGAATTAAATTTGATTTTATTGATAAATATTTTTGTTTAGTAAGTGCCGCGTTGTAATTAAGTTGGGAATATTTATAAACGGAGTTTTCGAGGAGACGTTTTCCCTCTTTTAATAGTTTGTTTATTCTTTTACCGTATATTTAAATAATCTTAAATAGCATCCTGTCCTGTCTGAACGGGCTCGTGAAACGATAAGTTCACTCTTGGAGTAGGTGCTATCCGCGTTATTTTTTTTAGTTAATGTGTAAATTTAATTAATCTTAAATAGTATCCTGTCCCTGTCTGAACGGGCTCGTGATGACAGGGAAAGGTACTATTCGCGTTAGTAATTTTCTTCCCTCCGATAATAGTTTTGTTTTTCTCTTTCACCGACAATTTAAATAACTTTAAATATTATCCTGTCCCTGTCTGAACGGGCTCGTGATGATGATCAGTTCATTCTTGGATTTGGTGCTATCCGCGGTTTGTTTTCTTTTTCTCATTTTTTTCGTGCAAATTGCAAATTTAAAAAAATCTTAAATAGCTTCATTACCCTGTCTGAGCGGGCTCGTGATGACGATCAGCTCATTCTGGGATAATAGGCTACCCCGGGTATAAATTATCTTTTTTTTTTCTTTCCTTATATTTACTATAAGTAATTATTTCGCGTCCCTGTCTCCTCGCACTCTCTATGCCCGTTTAGCTAATTTTCCCTTACCGAAATGGGAAATAATATTTTAGTTTAATTACCGACTTAATAGCCAAGTTAATATTTTTTTTTGCGACCGAAACATTAATTTTATTTTAATTCAATTTTGACTTCTGATTGAGACTAGTCGGGATTCAATACCGTTAATTACATCAGCCCTAGTAACAGATCCTGCAGATGTCGGCGTTATCAGAGTTACCAGTTTCTAGGAAACCGCTGATTAGGACTTTATGCATTTTATCTAGTTTTCTCATTTTTAACATCATTATACATTTATATTTCTTGTAGTACAGATCGTAGTTGTAGAATTTTAACTTAGAAAAAATAATTAAATTTTTTAAAAAGCTATTTTCAATTTGAAAGTTTATTTTTGGCGCAGTCAGTAGGATATCTGGAATTGTCGCGTATCGAACGTGCTCGATTTTCGTCTCTACGATTAACCAGATATCGAACAATAAAACTGTTGTGATTCGCGAGTGAAGGTGTTGGATGTGGAGTGGCTCTCAAGAAATCGAGAAACCCAGTCTATCGAAGACCCATTGAAGAACCCCAAGTCGAATAGCAACGAGGATTGGAACAAAATCGTCCAGTTCTGCAAGGCTAACGAATTTAGAAGAAAATTCGATTCCTTATAGTTATAGGCAGGGATATGCTCAAAATCAGTTTTATTTTAATGTGAGTAACTTTTATTTATGTCTATCGAATCACTATTGAATTCTTTAGAAAACTTAAATATCGACAACACTTTAACTGACTCTGATAACTCTCAAGTTAATTTAATTGAAAATATAGATTCACAAAATAATAATAATTTTTCGCTTCCTAACTTAACAAATAGTGAAACAAATTTAGAAAATTCGGAAGATATGGCCGAATTCAAGCCGGAAT